CTGCATAGAATGACTAAAAGGGTACTCACCGTGCGAACTACCCAGCCATCCACCTAACTWGTTGACTTTTGACAWGCATACATTGATGACGAGAAGATGCCRTGCGTCTTCTCTGTTGACTTACCAGTTAAATCCAACACTGATCCGGTACTCCCGAGGAGTACATGTTTTCAAGTGATTAATCAAAGCATGACTAATCCGGTACTCCCGTGGGGTGTACATCTTCAAACAACTAACGGAAGCAGAGATAATGGGAGGCTCCCGTGGGGTTCTCCAATCACTGATCTGACTAGACTTGGGATGGGAATTAAGTACTCACGGGTGAGTACATGAATTCTTAAGTCCAGGTCGATCTGTGCGACTTCCGTGTAAGTCTACAATATTTTTTTCTCAAGTTAACACATAAACGAATAAATGAACGATGAAAGCGACTAACCTAGAAGTGATCTTGATCTCCTACACATCGAACTGGTATTAGGGTGACTCCCAGGACGGTTATCCTAATACTTCGTTTGATCTGGGAAACAACTAATAGGGAGAGAATAAGCTGATTGTGCTTGGACAAGTAAAAGGGATATTCCCGGGTGAGTAACCCTGCTACTTGTCTTGGTAGGACTAATGGATTTACAACGTTCGATACTAATGGCCTAACTAAAGTTAACAAATTGATATAATGATTGGTTGACTCTGACATTGGTAGCAAGAAGATGCCGTGCATCTTCCCTATTGACAAGCAGGTTACATTGACAACCGTTTTTTTGATTCGGTACTTCCGTGAAGTACGCTTCTACAAAACTTAAAAAAAAAAAAAATCATTTGATCTGGTACTTCCGTGAAGTACATTCCTTCAGCTAACAAGAATCATTTGATCCGATACTTCCGTGAAAAACATTCTGTCAGTTTAACAAAAACCGATTTGATCAAGTATTTTCGTGAAGTACATTCCTTCAGTTCAACAAAGTCAAACTGATCCGGTACTTTCGTGAAGTACATTCCTTCAGTTTAACAAAGTCAAACTGATCTGGTACTTCCGTGAAGTACATTCCTTCAGATTAACGAAGTCATTTTGGTCCGGTGCTTCCGTGAAGTACATTTCTTCAGCTTAACAAAAGTTATTTGATCGGTACTTCCGTGAAGTACACTCCTACAATCATTAACAACAACCAATGATCCAGTACACCCGTGGGGTATACTTCTTCAAACATAACAGAGCAAAGTTAATCTGGTACTCCCGTAGGGTACGCATCTTCAAAGACTAACAAAGGTAAAAGGTAGCAGGAGGCTTCCGTGAAGCTCTCCTATCACTAATCAAACTAGACTGGGGAAGGATTCGAGTACTCCCAGGTGAGTACGCGAACTCCTAAGTCTGGATCGATCTGTCCAACTTCCCGTGGGAGTCAACATGCCTTTTGATCACTTACAACGCATAGGCCAGATAGGTGAACTGTAAGGGCAACTCAATTAAGAGTTGTTTTTTTTATCTTCTATGCATCAAACCGGTGGTAGGATGGCTCCCGGGTGGGTTATCCTAACACTTGTTGATTTGGAGGTCGACTAACGGAAGGAAAAGCAAGGCGATTATGTTGAACAAGTAAAGGGGATACTACCGGGTGAGTAACCTTACAACTTGTTCAGGTATGACTAATGTACGATATAAACAATCCACCTGATTAACATTGAAGCAGGACGTGGGAGGCTCCCATGGGGTCATCCCATTGCTTGCTTAACTTAATCTTAACAAGTCTAACAAAAACACTTCAGCAAAGGGAGGATCTGGGATTTGCCTGAGTCCACTAACATAATCCTAGCTCATCTAACTCTAAGTAAGTAGTAGGGTGGCTCCCGTAGGGTCTTTCTGCTACACTTTTGAGGAAACGACTTGGCTCTGAATCAAGTAGTAATAGGAGGCTTCCGTGAAGACCGTCTGTTACTAACTTTGATTTGAAATTGACATTTAGATCTGGAGTGTTTTCTGTATGTTGGGTCAAGTATTGAGACGACTCAAAATAGACCTCCTAACTACCTGCTTAACTAATAAAAGGATACTCTCGGATGAGTCATCCGATCACTTACACTAGATGGCATGAACTGCTTGATTGCATGAAGATTGCGTGAACTTTGAGGGATGACTGAGTGCTCCCGTGGGGCCACTCGACTACACTTCTGACTAACAGAATGTTTGAAATTGATAAAGTAGTGGAAGATTCCCAGGTGAATCAGCCCATTACTTGCGTATGTAAGGACAAGAAGAAGAGAAAGGAAAAGGAGTGCTCCATCGGGAGCGATTCCAAAGGGTCCCAAAAAGAAACACAAGAGAATCGAGACACCGCGGGTAAAAGAAATCAGAGAAAGAAGATACCCCGTGTAGCCGCAGTTCATCGAAAAATCTGCCACTGGCTTGAGTTGATCTCGGCCATACTTCCGCATAAAGCACCAAAGAGTGTGCTTATCCGCGAAAGAGAAAATGCGAGTATTGAGAGTAAGGGAAAAATATGAGTTTCCCTGGGATAACTTGAGACATAGGCAGAGAAACTCCTTGAAATAAAAGAAGGAGGAGTGAAAGACGACTCAGGGTAGGTAGAAACTAGGGGTTAGACTTTGGGATATTGATCCCAAAGCTCACAAACCAGAACTAAGGGTTTGACCCTAATATATCATTATCTAGGGATCAAGTGGGGATGTTGAATCATTGTTGACCTGTGTGTGTGCAGGTATTTGCTTGGTCTACTGCAATTGAAGGAGAAGTCCTACAAAAAGGACTTAATTTTCTGTTATCACTCGATAACAGGTCGGTTGTTACCGATTCAACTTTTCCCATTTGACTTGATACCCACCTCTAAAGTCAAACCCTGTGGTCAGTAAAACTGTCACCTGTGGTCATCGCCTAAATGGTCCTGGTCACTCTCAAAGGCCCTTTGTAGAAATGTCAGGGGGCTGGGCTTACGTCTCAAGAAAGACAAGGCTGTCATACATGGTTTGGGAAGTGAGGGACAAGGTCAATGGTTGATGGTTGACTCCGTTAGTGCATGGCATGTGAACTGTCTTTGTGTTATTCTGTGCAAGACTGTTTGTGCGTGATTTGGATTGAACTGGACCTGGTCTGTTGAAGAGTCTCGGACACACGACACTTGTGGAAGTGGAAAGGGTTATCGGCGGTAATACTTTCATATTCATCATATGTCCAACTTAAACTTCTATATTATTTTGATGAATAACTAAGTCATAACCTGTTAAGAAAGATAGAACGTTCTTTGGTAGAAAGATGGTTTGATTGATATTAGTCAAAATAATAATACGTTACGTAGTAGAGGAAATAGACTGTCTGCTAAAAACTTCGACCTGAATACCTAACAGGTCAGTTCTAGGCGTCTTACCGCGCGTACCCCGTTTTATGCTACAGCGATCGAGCAAACGCCCTCGGCCGACTTACGTCTACAAAGGCATGTAAAAGCCTTTGCATGTGGGCCGGTAGCTCAGCAGGGATACGCCTATCTAAGGGTGGTGACAGCCCCTCGGGTATAGGTAAGTTGTACCTCACGGCTCCCTGACCTGTCGTGGGGCGTCGTGAGAGGTATAGCATGCGCGAATAGTTGGAGTGGTGATTGGTTCTTTTTCAGGAATATATCCTGCGTGACACGACCGTGAGGTTCAGCGCTCCCAGCGGGGTGCGGGACCGCCGCGCGCGACAGGTGGCGCCGTTGCCGGGGATCTCGCTTCCTAGCCGAGGTCCTTAGTGAACCAACTCGGGTCAGGCAAGATCCTGGCAAAAGAACAATTATCGAAGTCAAAATTGACTAAGAGTCTAAGCGGAATAAGGTAACTCGAGTTGATAGTAACAAATAGTTAACAAATCAGTGCGTAGGGTATAGGTTGATTGATACCCATGTACAATTACTCGGCTTATAGCTAAAGTTAACGAATATGGCAACCTAAAGGCCGTGGGACCGGTACTGGTAGAGGAAGAGGCGGTAGACAAGGGAAGACACATGAGAGACCCATAGATTTGACTAAGAAATGGGAAGACTTAAGAGAAGATAATGAAGGGTCAGAAGAGAAGGAGGAAGGGTTGAGGGCGAGAAGATATCGGGAGGAAAAGCGCATGCATACGTCAAACCCTGAGGAAATGACTTTTTACTCATATAGGTACGCAAGGCGTTACGGAGAGTCTCCGCCACGCTTCGAGCCGCCTAGTCGCTCGCATCATAGCCCTTACCAGCTGTCTCAAGAACGACAGTTGACTGTCCTTCCCCAACCTCACGAATAAGGACCTCAAGCAACACCACACGTGCCTGACCCTCCTGTAGTCGCGCAATCTGCGTCTCCTGATAGGAGGATGTGCATATCACACTTGATGTTTACATTATGTCAAATAGAGATTTGCGGGTTAGTATCTTACTTGTTGTATAAAAAGATTATATAAGGAGTTAAACTGATGAGACAAGGCCTAATGATGAATCTTTCAACTTGTCATGAGGAAAGTGAGGAGCCAGGGTATTGTCTATGAGGGAGCGAGCTTTCATCTGGATTGAGTTTGGATGGGTTAGGGGTAAGAACTGTGCGGTAGAGAAGGTTACTCTGTATATCGCATCAGAGAACTTGCAGACCAGTCTCGTACTTGATATACAAAAGGATCATCTAAAGAAGGGGAGTGAGATAGGATGAAGACGGGAGTTTGTCTCATCACTAACTAAAGGAGAGACGTGAGGAGAACCCATATGAGTTGAATTGAGAAAATGTAATTTGGACCCTCATGATCTTTACTAGGGTCAGACCGAGGGAAGTTAAAAAATAAAGGAGGTATGCTAGGAAAACTACGGGGAAAAGGGTACCTATCTTTAAGTCATGTTATTCCATAGCGAGGGCACCCAAAAATTAGTGGCTGGAGAAGTACATTAAATAAGTTGTCATTTGGCTTACCCTTATGACAGGTCTTCGAAATTTGATCAAGATGCCTTATGCAGAGTAAGTGTCCAAGGTCGAGGCGCCTGTTAGGAATGGTGATGGGCTAGAAATGACACTACCGAAAGGAAGAAGCCAAGCAGAACTTAGTGAATCGTAGTGGGGTTGCTCGTTATTAAGTGAGACGTTTTTGTGGATAGAAATTAGTTGGAATACGAGAGAGGAATGGCGTCGCGTGAGAGTCACCATCTACCTGGCTGCGAGTCTCTGGCATGATTATGAATCAAATTTCGATCAAGGGATGGAAGGCTATCTGCTGTTACTCACAGGGATGGCAGAAGTGAGGCTTAGAGTTTGGGAGAGGAAAGGTCCAGGGGTGGACACAAGTGAAGTTATGAAGGAAATCAAAATGCTTCCAGCTAAAGACTTTACTCTTTCGGTCCATTACATTAGGACCACGCTCCCAGATTTTATTGTTGAAGAGGTGTTTTTTGGTCAAGAAAGGGTAGAGATGGCCGATGAAGCAGCACTAAGGGTACCAGATAGAGGGTACGTTTTTTCCACCCCTCACATGATTTACAGCCTATACATGGAGATGGGCTCCGGACTCGCCAAGAGTGATTTTAGCAACGTGTTGTCCATCGTAAATGCATACGCTAGAGTTTATTTCATGGAAGAGCGATTCGGGTACTGGGAGAAGTTGAAAGAGGAAGTAAGGTCTGGGATCTGCGTTGATGGTATTCCCATCATGTTTGGGTTAGTTTATAACTTCTGGTCTGGGGACTGGGTGACGGCGGAAGAGATGGAAGAAGAAGAGAGAGTGTTTATATTCTAAAAAGGTTATGGGGTAAGGTGTTTAGGCATAAGTTGTAAGGAAGGGAAGAAGGTGAAGGAAGACGTTACTTATGTGAATTACACAGGGATGAAAGGGGGAAAAAATGGGATGAAGAAGGGAAAAAAATGAGGCGAGAAGACAAAGGAGATGACTCGAACGGGATTAAGAAAAAGGGGAGAAACTTTATTTACGATGTAAGGAGGAATGACACGACTAGGTAGGACTTATGCGTGAGTATTGTGTGCTTTTTGTTTTTCTTTTGCACTTCACAGGCCGCCAGGAAATCACTCAAGATGTCGTACGCTACTCGCGGAATTGGGATTAAGCTGCCCATCCGAACCAGATTGGGATTAAGGATGTCGTTGCCCTAGGGACTAAGCGTGAGAGAAGAGGAAATCACCTCATGGTGGGGAATCCCGATTGGGCCGAAAACATTTTTATGGGTAGAATTTGGGCATACCCCGGACCGAGAAAGTATAATAGTTCGAGCAACCCTTTACCTCTCATCGCACTTGTGGAGAATGCACGACATCGACTTGGCAGTGGGGCATAGTCAACCATTATCCAGGTATCTCCTGATTACAGCAGCAATCAGGTGGGGGGAATTTCGACCGATTATACCCATGATAGAAGTTAGGTGGGCATCGGACTTCGTCTACCCTACCGACTACGTAAAAGCTACCCTGCCAAACTTCATCATTGATGAAGTTTTTCACAGCCCTGCTAATGTAGAACAAACAACTCGGGCTGCCATAGCCGTGCCTCTGGGGAGGTGCGAGTTTTTTACGTCGCAAGTTCTTTATTGCTTGTCCTTGGAGATGGGGCCAGATTTTGCTGATAAAGACTTTGAGGATGTCCTGTCCATGGTAGATGCGTTTGTTCGTGTCCATCGTATGGAGCCAAGACAAACTTATTGGAGGAAGCTTAAAGCCGAAATGAAGATCAGGGCATGCATCTTTGGTATCCCGATAATGTTCGATATGGGGTATGATTCCTGGACGGGGGATTGGTTGTCTGTAGAAGACATTGGAAGGGTGGACTGGTAGGCGACCTAGAAGCAAAAAAGATAAAACCAAAACCGTTTTTGACATGTCAATCGTCTCATTAGAATGTAAGGGGTAGTAACTGGGGCTCACAAAATTAAGGAAAATTAGTGTATACTAGTTAATGTCAAAGGAAAGAGATGAGAGTAAAAGAGGAGGAATGTAATATAGTTATAATCATGGGCTGGACAGGGCTTAGATAGCGCCTTGGGAAGGGTAAAATACCCAAGGCAAAAATCTAAAAAGATAAGTAAGAAAAATCTGAGAAATAATAAAAAAACCCGTCGTCTCTGTATGTATATGACAGATTAACTAAGGGACTGTGGAAAGATGGGAGACGCTAATGGAGGACAGGGGTCCATCACGGCTGCGGAGATCGTGCGGTTACTGGAAAGTAGGTCGATCAAAAGGTCGCATCTGCCAAAGATAAAAATATTCCCTTTTCAAGGAGAGCGGGTTTCTCACTGGTTAGAACTTCTGGAACAGGTTTTCAATCGGCTAACACCGACTGAGAAATTTGCTCAGCTGTATGAATACGTATAGTTATATCGCTCGGAGGTCGAAAATATCGTCGCGGAAGCCCAGGGGGATTGGATCGAATTCAAGAAGGGGATGCAATGGAAATACAAGTTGGGTGATTGGTTATTAACAATCAATCATCTGCACAACTTAAATAGGAATGATTTTACTACGATTGGACCTTTCGCCACAACCTTTGAAAAAATGGCAGAGAGAGTCCCGGGGCTTTCCGAGGAGATGCAATATGTCATTTTCTTGGGGAAATTCTCAGGATATGAGGCGATGGAGTTGACGTGGGGAGGCGCGCCGGGTAAGAAGACCTCGTGGGAGACGATAACATCAAGAGATTTGGACCAGGTGTTTCATCACCAAGTGAAGATGGAGAGAAAAAAAAGAAAGGAGGTGAGCGCGATTCATGGGGCAGATTTAGCCTTAGGAGGGGTCTTGAGTAATATGGCAGCTCGGCTCAAGGAGATGAAGGAGCAAATGGCGCCAGGGAAGGTAATGGCAGTCGGTCAAGCAATGAACAAAAGGAGATATGAGAAAAATGATGAAGGGGATAAGGAAGAAGAGGAAGAAAAAACGGAACAGACCACCAAGGCTAAAGCAGCCCCAAAAAATGTTAAGAATCAACCCACAGGAAAACAAGGAACTGGCAAGGTGCAGAATCCGCAACAAGCTGGGACGTCAGAAGCACAGGCTCCCGCAACACAACTCGCCCATGGCCGGTTGTGACTCCTATGGGTGCGTGGCCCAAATTTTTTTCTAGGAAGTCAGTGGCCGGGGTTTGGTCAAGTGATCATGTATCCGAATCTTCCCCAGGTACAAGGAACAGGTCAAGTGCAAGGTGGTGCGACAGGCGGAGAACAGCCTTAGCAAGCGCAACAGGCTCACGACAATCAAAACCAAAATCAGTTCCAAGGACAAAGACACGGGCAAGGACAGAGTAGAGGTAGGAGCGGAGGAAGAGGAAATGGTCAAGGAGGAAGAAGGAATGTCCAAGGTGGAAGAGGATTTGGAGGAAGAGGACATGGCGGATAAGGAGGAGGCTGGGGCAATCAAGGAAGCCCTCAGTCGGGAAACTATAATTAGATGAACTTTAACCAAGTCGGTCAAGGGTATAACCAAGAATATGGACAAGACTATAACCAATGCTATGGCCGAGGGTTTGGTAGGAGTGATGGGCAGTGGAAAGGTCAGGGATTCAGACAAGGATGGGTAGATTATAGTGAATGTATTTGCACCCATTGTCAAATCAAAGGTCATACATTGAAGAGGTGCCATGTTAGAAAGATGGACAAACTGGATGTGATAATTACGTTCAGCATGGATGGGGATGTGTACAATAAGCGGGGCACTCTCGTTAACCCTAAAATCCCTGGAGGTACGAGGAAGGAGGTGCTCAGGATCGCAGGGCTAGGACCTAGTACCCCCGCCATGTTCCGAATATGGCAAGAAAAGGAGGATCCGTTTATCAAAGTCGAAGATGTGACTGAACTGGGGAAACAATTAAGGGAAGGACTAAAGATAGACCAGGAAGAGGAGGATGCTCCGTTGATTGAGCTTGAACCAAGAGAGGATGAAGTAGTCAGGGAGTCACCGAAAGACACCTTAGAGAGGATGGAAGACTTGATAGGTTAGATAGGAAGATTGAATACCCGAATGATAGGTATATGTGAGGAAGTCCAAATTATGGAGTTAAGAGCCCCACACATATTTACGATGAATCAAGAAAGTGGGGGAGAGAGACCCCGAGAACCAAATCCAAGGGCACTAAGGGCTAGCTTGGCTGCAGGGTCTGAAGCGGCTTACCAAACCCTTAGAAATTTTATGCCACATACCGCTCGCCGGGTGAAAGGAGGCAATACAACCAAGTAGCCAGAGCAGGCTCCACCTCCTCCTCCTGGGGAACCCTCTATCGATATAGGCGAGGAGAAGGAAGATCGGAATGAGCAGCTGAGGGAAGAAGAGGATAAGAAGGCTGAGCAAAGAGCCAAGAAGCGGAAGCAAGGGGGTTAGGAAGGAAAAGAAAAGGTCGAAGAAAAGTCCAAGAAAAAGTGGAAATATCAGACGTCTATCGAAGAAGGGGTAGACCTGAAAAATTTGGTGAATAAACTTCTTGATGGTCATAACGAGCTGCTGAATTTGAAGGAAATTTTGGCAACAGCTCCGAAGCTCAGAGAGCTGGTCAAAGCGAAGTTGGCAAGGAAAAGAGTGGCAACGGTAAGATTGGGGGATTTGATTCCCAAAGAGGCAAACTGGACCATCGCTGGGAGTAAAATGGATTGGAAATCCGTAGGAACAGGTTCCATTGAAGGTAATATCAGAGGAAGAGCGTACCCCGCAATGTTAGATACCGGAGCAGAAATGAATATTGTAAATTCAGAGACGGCTGAAAGATTGGGACTTGAAATTGATAAAAGTGACTTCGGATATCTCAATGGGGCCAGTGGGAAGTCAGGTTATACGGATGTCGCTCCAAACGTCATCGTAGAAGTAGGGCGGATCAAGGTCCGTTCCTGCTTCTATGTCATGCCAAGTTTGGATTTTCCCATACTATTGGGAAGGTCCTCCTTGTCGAGGTCAGAAGCGGTCCTCATAAATAAACATGATGGAACTATATACGCCATATTATGCGACCCGGTGTGTGGGAATTTCGAGGTACTCACATGTGCAAACACAGGACCCCACTATTCAAAGAACCGTCTCAATACAAGGTCCTATACGTTTGAAGAATATGAGGATAGGAGAAGGGAATTAGAGTGGGGGTCAGACGAGGATGAGGATGAAGAAGATGAGGGGCTGGTCCTAAGCTTGGCTAATATAGTTCAAGCAATGTGCATGGTCTCAGCCTATGAGATGGCCGATCAGGAAGCCATCATGGCCTTGGCCGACAGGTTGGGTGAGTATCCTGAAGGAGGGAAAATGAAATTGGTGTATAGGCCACCACCTCGAGATGTAAAGATGCAGGGACCATACGCCCAATCAGGCGGTCAGCATTTTTTAGGGGTGGGCTCAAGCAAGGAGGCAAAAGGAGGTACAAGACAGTAGATAAGAAAAATCATCTGGTCCTAGTAACACACGAGGAGAGTGTGTACTATGAACAAGAGAGAGAATTGATAAGGCAAATGAAAAATAAATGGGATGAGGAGGCATGTCCTATCAATGAGGAGACGGAAAAGGATCTGATTATCGGGGAAACCGGGTTTCTGACTGAGCAAGAAAGAGCATTGGTGATAGGGTTAATAAAGGAGAAACATTGTGCCTATGCCTTTAATGATGATCAGAGACGGAGATTAGATGTGGACAAGGTAGGGATGAGCAGGATCCATACGGTCCCGCATCAGCCTTGGAATGTTAGAGGAGTCAGGTACCCGAATCTTGATGATCAGAAAAGAGTGGTGAAATACCTCAGTGGGAAGATTGATTCACACGTGGCAGGGTTTTTTAGTGGGCCATATGCTTCACCATGGTTCTGCTTTATTAAGCCAAACGGGGTGCTTAGGTGGGTACAGAACTTGCAGAGATTGAATGTCGTGACTGTTAGGGATGCTGGAGGGCTCCCTAATGCTGATCAACTCTCCGAAGCGTGTGCTGGAAGGTCTATTATTTCTATTATAGACCTCTGCTCTGGCTATGCCCAATTCCCTGTCTACCCGACAGATAGGCCAATAACTGCAATGCATACTCCTAGGGGGTTGATCCATATGAACGTAGCACCTCAAGGATGGACAAATGCGGTAGCCATAGTTCAAAGGAGTACGGTCAGAGTCATGCAGCCGATTAGTCCATAAATCACAGAACCCTATATCGATGATCTAGCGGTAAAGGGACCAATGATAAAAGATGAATAAAAGGTTGCTCCTGACATTCGAAAGTTTGTCTGGGATCATGTCAATGATCTCAGGAAGGTGCTCAATCTCCTGCAGGAGCACAACCTCACGGCGAGTGGCGCTGGGTCTAGACATTGCATGAGAGAGACGACCATTCTTGGATTTGTGTGTAACATGCAGGGTCGTCGTCCGGATATAAAAAAAACAAACAAAATTCTTGAGTGGCTGACGCCATTCAAGAATATAGGCGAGGTGAGATGTTTTCTTGGGACATGTGGGTTCTGGAGGATATTCATCAAGGGGTTTGCTGAAAGACTGAGCACGTAAGGAAATTGGTGAGAAAGAATCAGGAATGAGAGTGGGGAGAGAAGCAGGAGCAGGTGGTGAGAGATTTAAAGAAGGAATTTGAGGAAGGAGGTCAAATATTGGGGGTTCCGGACTATGAAGCGATCTTAGAACGCCCCTTCATAATAGAAACCGATGCCGGACCCACGACCTTGGGAGAAGTCTTGATACAGGCGGATAATAAGGGTAAGGAAAAACCATTGCGCTTCGAGAGTCGAACTCTCAATTCGACTGAAAGGAATTACTCCCAATTCAAGAAGGAGGCCTTGGCAGTATTACACTGCATACGGATCTTCAGACATTATCTCTTTGGGAAAAGATTTATTCTAAGAGTAGATCCGACGGCCCTCATGTATTCCCTTAGGAACTTCTCTCCAGCTGATCTTACAGTTGCCAGATGATTCACCTACATCTGGATGTTTGATTTTAAGTTGGAGTGCATTCCGGGGAATAAGAACAGAGCAGATGGGTTGAGCAGGATAGAATGGGTACAACCTGGGGAACCTAAGGAAGAGACGCCGCCGGTAGACGGATTCTTGGAAGAGGATGGCATGCAACTTCACGTTAACGCGTGGGCCTTGAGAGTCGAGGATGATGGGGTGCGAGAGGGAAGACCTATGTGGTTCGCACCCGCAACTTTTATGAAGGACGAACGGTTGGTGTTAAAACCTTTTGTCGAAGAGGATCCGTGGGGAGAAAGGAATGGGGAATGAATGGCAGAGTTAGCCTTGGCTGAGAGTTACAGATTGACAGAAGAGCCGGTCACGAGTGAGGCAGGAACGAGACAGGTGGATCGGTATTTATTAGCAGTAGGGAGAGTGCATTACCTTGTGAACTCTCTCCTACAAGTCCGGACCGAAGAAGAACGAGGGACAAAAAAGGCGGATGAGATAATATTGGGAGATGACTACGAATTTGATGAGGAGAAGGAAGGAGAGGAATTTGAACAAGGTGAAATCCCGGAAGATTTCCGGGAAGAAGAGTACGATGGGCTCCATCTAGAAATGAGGCTTCTTCTCTCAGGCGACAAGCGAGAAAGGAAAGTTGGTGAGAAAACTCTCCGCATGAGGGACCATTATGTGGTAAGGGGTGGTCATCTCTTCATCAGGGATAAAAGAGGACCACCTAGGAGAGTTATTTGTGGTAGGAATCGACAGATTAATGTCATAGCTGCCCTCCACGACGGACCTGTTGGAAGTCACAGGGGTTTTGCCGCTACTCTCAAAAAGGTGACGGAGCTTTACTTTTGGGAAGGAATGTACGGGATGGTCAGAAAGTACTACGAGTCATGCGTGTCGTGCCAGGTCAGATCGCCGATCAGGTATAAAGAACCTCTTCACCCGAGGTATATCAAGGAAGTGGGGGTTGTTGTCCGCTTGGATTTGTTAGCAATGTCGTTGCGACTTGGTGGGTACAGCTACATCTTTGATGCTAGAGACAACCTCACAGGATTGTTGATGGAAAGGCCATCAGGACCAAGACTGGGGCGGTCTTGGCCGAATGCATCAAAGAATATTACCTCCGATATCCTTTCGTAGTGGAATTCACAATGGATAGAGGGTCAGAATTTACATGCGGGGGGGGTGAAAGAGTTGTTGGATGATCTCGGGGTAATCGCCAAGTACACCACTAGGGCACATCCTCAGGCTAACGCTCCAGTGGAAAGAGGGCACATCACCATTACGAACCTACTGGCAAAGTGGACGGCGGGAAAACCGAACTTGTGGCCAAAATTCTTGCGGATAGTATTCTTCGTTGAGAATATCACGGTCAGGAGAACCACGGGATATGCTCCTGCGACCTTATGGTATGGGAGACACGCCACCTTTCCAATAGAAAGCTTCCTGAAAACCTGGCGGAGACAAGATCTTGAAAACAACCTGCCGCTTGAAGAATTGCTTGACATCCGAGCCAGACAGGTCAGTGTCACAGAAGAAAGGATTCAGGAAGCAGTCGAGAAAGTGGCTGATAGTCGGGGAAAACAAAAAGAAAGGTGGGACCGACATCCTCACGTACGAATTGAGTTATTGGTAGTCGGGGACGTGGTGCTGTTGTATGACTCGTCCTTGGAGAAACAATGGTCAAGGAAGTTGGATAAGAGATGGTTGGGGCCGTACAAGGTTCGACGTCAAGGGATCATGGGGCATATGAGCTGGAGGAAATGGATGGAACACGAAGGCGGTACTGGGTTTCTAAATCCAGGTTGAAGAAATTCAGAACAAGAGATGAGGTGAGTAAGTAAGAAATTAATCAGTTAGATCCCCCCTAAAACACCTTGTGATTGCATCATTGCGAACCTTGTATTGTTAACCGGCTGCTAATACCCTTGTGCACCTGCCACTTCCCTCGTCTTTTTTCTGTGTGCAGGCTTAATCCTGTAAAAGGAGCGGCAATGACACGAAAGGGAGGGGTGGCGGGGCCTTCCAGGCCAGCTTCTGGCAGGGAACGGAGACAGGGATCACAGCGGGTAACCAGGGACACAGATGGAATGCCGATCTACAAGAAGGGGGACAATTTGAGGTTGTTCCTGAGGGAGTTCGAGGACCATGCATTCAGGAGGGAGTGGGACATCCCAACCATGCTGCTCAAAGTTAATGGTGTGGGGGAGTGCCAATTGAAGATTGAGGAAATCACCACCGACTGCCTGGGCTGGATAACATTTAAAACAGAGATGTGGACCGAATATGGGGACTTGAGGAGCAACGAAATCGAGGAGGACATCATCTTCGACGGGACTAATATGGAGGATTTTGAGGAGAGTATTGCTCTGTGTGCAGAAATGAAAGGGTGGAAGGAAGAAGAGAAGTTGGAACAGGTAATGGCAAGGGTGGACCCCAGGGAGTATGAAAGTATGAAGAGGATCAAGGAGGAGTCAGATACCTGGGGAGGATTTCTTGTCAAATTTAGAAGAACCTACACCGTGGCCGTACAGAGACAGAAGAAAAGACAGTTACTTCAGGAGATTGTGGATAGGGAGAAGGGGAGACAAGCTGAAAAAGAAAGCTCGACAAAAAATTGACGAAGATGATGTGCCCATCAGGCAGGTGCTTGTCAGGAAAAGGACAACAATTCAGAAGGGAGGTGGATCAGCAAGCAGGACCGCAGGAATGCAAGAGAAGAGAAGAGGCAAGAAGAAGAAGCAAGAAAACGAGGGAGAAAGGGAACAGGACATGATTAGAGAAGAAGAATGGAAGAAGAAAGTGGAGGAGGTAGCAAGAGAAAAAAAGGGCACAAAAGAGAGGAAGGAGAGGGAAGGAGAAGGAGAGAAGAAATCGGATACGATGAGTGAAAAAGAAGAGGAGAAGGAAGTGAGGGAGGTAGCGGAGGAGAAGGAAGGCGCGAAGGAGAATGAAGGAGATAAAGAAGAAAGGAATCAAACAGAAAAGGAGACCGGAATGGCATCAACTGAGAATCCTCTCAAGGAACCAGGATCAAGGAGGATGACCAAGGAAGAGAGAGAAAAGAGAGAGGAAGAAAATAAGGAGTGAAGGGACAAAATGGTTGCATCAATGAAGGAAGATGAGTTGCGTGCGGATGCCCCTTGGAGTTAGAAGATTGAGAGGATCTTGTTAATTGAATCAGTCAGGGGCTCTAACCTACGGTCAGACCTGGACAAGCTGATCCGACTGCATGAGCTACTTCGAGATGACTGTGAGTGGCTCCCTCCTTGAAGGAGGAGCCGAGGTAGCCGAGAAATTTGAGGGAGCAGGAAGGAGCCAGAGAGGGAATGACAAAGATGGAAAGGTGGAGGCTTCGATTAGAGAGCTCCAAGAAAGGGTAATAGAGAAGGAGGAATTACTCACTCAGGGAGTAGCAAGTCACATCCCTGAAATCCTGAGGGAGATCCAGAGATTGAGAAAAAGGGAAGAAAGCAGGGATGCACAGGTGGAAAAGATGGGAAAAGAAGTGGAAAGCATGAGTGCTGAAATGAACAAAGTAAGGGAAGAACAGCAAGAGCTTAAGAAGCAAGTGGAGTCGTTGAACATTGCCCTGGGTAGTAAGAACAAGGAAGTGGAAAAAGAGAGGGTTGAGCGACAAAAGTTGGAGAAGGAGGTTGGCAAGCTGGAAGGGAGAGTCAATAATCAGGAAAAAGAGATGGAGGCTCTCAAGAAGGTTAGTCAAGAAGGAGCAGCATAGATGCCTATGAAAATAGTTGAATGGAACGACGGGCTTGGGTTTGAGATCAGGAATGTTACGGGAACACTTCATGCCCCAGGACAAGGCCCAGGGGGAGTAAGCAGAGAAGCATTGGGACAAAGAGGGGAGAACAACGATCAACCTACTATCATTCCAGCTTCTGCTAACAAGTTGGTTGAAATACTGACATCTGACACTGTTACAAAGTCTTCTAGTGGAGACGAATCAAGAAATAGTAAAAAGAGACCTTGTTCTGAGATGGTGGAAGCAGGTGGGGAGAAGGAGGCAGCGATTCCATGTTATTCTGCCAAAAAGTCAAGGAGTGAGGGCATAAAGTTATGTTGGGAGAGTGTCCATGATTTAAGTTTAATGAGGAAAAGAGATTGGTAAAGTTGGATGAGAACAAGAAGATGATTGACAGGGATGGGAACCCTGTTAAGAAGGCCAAGGACGGATTCAGGGCTCAACTGTATAGACAATTGAACCTTAGCATGATAGACTAGGGGAAAATTATGTGCCATGACCTTCTATGTTCTCTACAACTATCCACACTTCGTTTTCTCAGAAAGACTTTGTATACTATGAGTAGGAAGTGTAAAATAGGTAGGGTCCTCTCTCTTGAGGCATAGTGATGTGCTTTAGCAATAGAAAAGAGACAACGAGTTCCGAAGTCTTTGCTTTGATATAGAGTTAGCTCGACATGTGTATTTTAGTAGGGACAGAGAGGCACGTAACTTGTACGTCATCTTTCATATTTATCTTTCTCTTTTAGGAGGAAAACCGATTTTTTTACTTTGTATTCCTTTTCTTGAGTCATATTTTATTAATTTTATTTATGGGGTATGCCGGCGAGAGACACTTTCACTTTCACAACTGAGTTGGTCCAGTGTTTTATCTTGTTTTGATAGAATGTGTGTCTTCGAAGTCTGTACAAGCTGTATTATCGAGTCTTGAACTAGGATGCTCACAAAAGCGCCTAAGTGTTCAAGAAAGATAAAGTGAAATGTGACATGTATGGTCTGAATGTGCTTTGACATTGTTGATCATTCTTCCATGCATTGTCTTATGCTGTTATTGTTGAGAAAAACCTTAAAAACGGGGTGTGCAAAAGTTAAAAGCTTTGAGGCATTTGAGAAACTCTGCGAGTCAGGGAAGTGTATGTTATGAATGGAATGGTTATTCTTTTTCTGCTTTCTGACAAGACGAGGAGTCAAACAAATACTTTTTATACTTTTTTATGGATATTTGGTTGATTTTTGCTGTTGGTTGAAGATCCTCGAGATGTGTGTCTGTCCGGCCTATGATCGAGGTTTGGGCAACACGACCCCTAAGTGGCTCTGACGATGCCCCTCGTTCAGTGACATATAACAATCATGATATATCATTTTTATTCGTTAAATTTTCTTTATATATACTTTCAAAAAGGTTCATTCATCCAAACTGCCGAGGGGATTCTTTGGTCAAATTGTTTTTTTATATATATGAAATGATCATCGTTCATCCACTCTAGGTGGTCAGTCTGAGGGACTTGAAATTACCAAGCCTATGGTGGAAAATTGGCATCGTTGGGACGTAACTCCCAACGTGGGCTGCTGACCAAGTATAACCATGCAGCGGACCTTCCGATTACGGCCTAGGACCGAAACCTGAGAGGGGGTCTCCTTAATGAGGGAATTGGTTCAGGTAGATATCGGCGGGATCAAGAGTCAGGTGTAGAATGATAGGAGAATTATACCCGATATTGCGTAACCAATAAGGAAACCATCGCTAAAATAACAAACGAGGTGGGCCGCAGTTTCGGCCTGATCAGCCGGCTGTAGTGGGTTGAAGCCAAGGTTGTCGATCCCCTCGCATTAGACTTCGGGTGGGACGCTAAAATCTGACTTAGGTTAAGACCCGCGTCCAAAGGGTGGGATTCAATTGTAATTCCTAACCCCACGGACACCCAACGAGATCCTGGAAATAAAGTCATAAGTTGGGGGGAGGAGCTATCATTGTCTTCCTTGGTGACCTCCGCAACTGTAGTACAAATCCAGTATGCCCACTTGGGTTTTATGGAATAATTTTTCTTGGGAATTGTCATTTTGGATATGTGGGAGACCCAGGTTAAAATCCTGGCAGTATGGACGCACCAAGGGAGACAGTGAGGGTCTCCAAACCACAACTTCATCCAGGGGATCGGATTTTGACTACTTGTCGCGTCAGAAGGTCTTTTCTTTGCATTTAGATTCCCCAGCGACGGGGACGTCGCTTAATGGGTCTGGGAAAACTGTCGGAGCTGATACCCTTATAAGGGTATCCGCTCATGATTTCATGATCGACGCAATGTCGACACCAACAGACAGACTGAGGACGGATAAAAATGGAAAATGAGGCAAGGCCCTCGACTACTATAGTCGATAAAGTTTTGTCAGCGCAAGTGCCGAAACACGGCATGCACAAACGAGAGTCAATGGTTAAATTTTTTTCGAATGCTCGCCTGCCTTGTCGTGAAGAACGCAGAGACGGTTCAATGACCCTACGCGCCGCTTTGACCCGCGCAAAGAACTGGAGAAGGGTTAGTAATTAAACCGCCGACCACAGAGGCCGGAGGGTTAGTCTAACGAAAGGGAGTTGAGTGGGTGAGAAAGCTGCACACCGAGTTAAAGCATCAAAACGGGGTAGGGAGTGGGGATAAAACTCTTCCGCCCCATCCCCCGACTTGGGTAAGGAAGAGGATTAGTATACATGCCGGCCTTGTGGCCGGGCAAGCTAAAGAGGGGCATGTTGTCTGCCATGCTAAGGCGGCGGCAGCCGGTACGGGCCTAAATTAGCCTAGAAGGGCAGACCGTAAGCCTGCTGTAATTAAGAAGCCAAGCCTATGCTCTACTTAGGGTGGAACAGCTCCCGTTCTAACCGGACTAGGAGATAGCCCAATAGGTATAGGCACGGATTATCAAAGGACTAAACTAGGGAACGAATCCCTCTGGCCTTCGGGCTAACTCTTTTTTAACAAGGACTTTTCTTTGATTTTACCCTGCGCTCGGACCGCCGGGGATCGAACCGGCAACCTTGGTCTTAGAAATTCAGTAGGAATAGGGCTCGTTGTGACAGTTGGCACAACGGGGTAGTTAGGGTAGTTAGATTCTCTCTTTTTTGGTTTTTGCCTTTATTATTATTTGTTAAGAATCTGTTTCTTTTTTTCTTTTCTTTTTATTATTAGTTATTATTGAATTGATTTTGGGCACAGTGGTCCATCTCCACCACAATGTTTTTCGCGAATCTGCCCGTCAACTCCGGGCGGATGCGGATCACGGGGAAGGCATCTCCGTTGTAGGAATTCGCTCGTAGAAACAAGGGGAGGAATCACGAACGCGATAAGGAGCCGGGCTTGGGCCAGAACACAGCACAGGCGAACGATCTGGCATGCGAAAAGGAACGGGGTGAGGCAAACACGAGCGCACTAAGCCAGCCAGGACGCGATCAGCGTACGATTGTGAGCTCCGTCAGGCGCGCTAACAGCAGGGCAGGCGCTAACAAGGGAGATAAGTGTGAACGCAAGCAGCAGTCAGTACGGGCGAGAGCGCTAGCAGGAGGTGGTACGGAGGAAGGAGCAAGCAGGCGTACGAACAAGCAGGTGCTAGCGTGCAAACTTGCGAACGTGAAAACTTGCAAACGCGTGAACGAGCGACGTACAAGCGAGAGTGAGAGAAGAGGGAGCGTGCGTGCGAGCGAGATAGACGGCAAGAGAGAAAGGGGGGGAATAAGAAGTAGAAGAAGAAGAAGGGGAGAAGGGGAAAAAGAAGGAGGAGGAGAATAATACAAAAGAAGAAGAAGGAGAAAGTAGAGAAGGGCACCTACCTGACCGCAAGATCAAACGACGACGACGATTACAACAACGGCGGAGGAGAAAAGTAAAAGGACAAGTAAGTTGACTACTACTACTACTACTACTACGTATGTGTATAGACTAATATAAGAATATACGAATATGCACGAAGGAACGACGATCTCACTTCGAGTGATTGGTCACTACCGACAACAAGACAGGTCGTTAAGCTGGGGGATCGCCGCACACCACGTGAGTTGAGGGGACGATTTCCGCGGATGATTCATTCCGCTTTTGCTCATCCTATCGAAGGAATGTGTGTGCGTGAGACGTTCGTGATTTGACCAAAGAGAGAGGAAGAGAGAGATGATAAGTCTCCCATCTCGACCAAAGTCTCCGACCCGTACCTCGCCGCACGCTATTTAGATCGATAGAATGAGCAAATCTAAAAGTGACAGTGTATATTTCCACGTTTCAGCGGAAGATTCATTCCGCTCTTGCTCATCCTATCGATGAAATGTGTGTGTGTGTGTGTGTGTGTGTGTGTGTGTGTGTGTGTGTGTGTGTGTGTGTG